CGAAACAAAATATTTGTGAAAATATACTACATAAGATCCAGAAAGTAAAATCGACAATTATTCTAACCGTCAATGTTTCTATCATTGTAAATGTGAAACCTACATTTGTATTTATAAAGTATATGTAGTGAAATTATTAAATACAAAAATCGTGACGTCGATAAAGACATTTATTAATATATAAATTCATATTTTAAGTTGATTTAGAAGAGATAAGTTATCTTGTAAGTACATATATTGAACAGATAGATCAACTGATAAAGGACTTTACTCCCGTTAAACAAAACCTACACATACGCTACATATGTAATATGTATACATATTATGTATATATGTACTAATACATATATACATAAGTATATTTTTAATGATTTTAGTCATTTCAGTTAATTTTTCTATATAATTTGTAACAAAACAAATATTGTTTTTATTAAAGGTAACAACAATGCAAAGATCTCTTAGATTAAAACGTGAACTTGAAAGACTCACGAAAAATCCTGTGGAAGGAATTTGCTGTTATCCAAAATCAGATAATTTGGATCAACTTGTTGCAACAATAATTGGACCTTGTGGTAGCCCATATAGTGGTACTATTTTTGAATTAGAAATTAATATACCTGAAGAATATCCATTCGAACCTCCCCAAATTACTTTTAAAACACCTGTGTATCATCCAAACATTGATGATAAAGGTCGTATCTGTTTGGATTTATTAAATATGCCACCCAAAGGTGTTTGGAAACCTACTATCGGATTGCAAAATCTTTTGGATGCTGTGCAGAGTCTTTTAGGAAATCCAAATCCTGATGATCCTCTAATGGCAGAAATAGCAGAAGAATATAAGTTTAATAGACTGAAATTTGATAGAAAAGTAAGAAAATTTATAGAGGAAACAAAAAATATACATTTGTTACAATAAGTACTTTATTATGGATATGTGTAGAACAGATTATATATGATAATGAATTGAAGAAGTAAATCTTTTAGATGTCATCGTTGAATTTCATTTATGATAATTAGACTGCAGATCTTTATGCAAAATAAAAATTTTCTGCCTCATATTTGTAGGAGACAGATATTAGATATATGTTTAATTCCTTCTGTAATAATTTTAACAAATTGAAAACAGTACGTCGATACTCTTAAATTGTTTTACCTTATCTCATTTTTTAAATTGTTCTCACTCATATTTGCCATAAATGCATAAAATTCACAATCTAATGATAAGTCATGTTTACCTAAAGTTTACCTAAATAAAAAACTCATGCAATATTTAAATATTTTTGCTGTATTTTGTCTGATGGATAAGATACTTTAGAATATAGAAGAATAACAATAAAAAAATGGGAAATTATATAATAATATGAAATAACTGTACTGAATTAAGATAACTTCATTAAAATATTATTAAAATGAAAACTTTTAATTACAATAAAAAATGATCTACCATAAAATTCCGAATAGTCAAAAATGATGATTGCGGAAAGGTTTTTGGTGACTTGAATAAAGATTTGTGAACATTTGTGTTTCACTCCCTATAGTACCGTCACAGTCGTAATCGCCACAGCGCAGACACAGACTACAGACTTAGGATCCGTACGGATAATGCATCTTATGGGGCTAAGGTAGTTACGTGATTTTACGGATTCAGCAGTCGGTATCTGCTGTACAAATTTCCTTACATAAATGGTATTATCTAGAGATGTGTAGCTGCTTGATAAGTACGGAATGGAGCCACCGGCGTTTTCGATTAGTAATGGAAAAAGAAATTCAATTCAAATAAAAATATTCTCCGGATCGAGATATGCAGTGACATTTTCTTATAACTTTTGATCTACTGGAGGTATTGCAATGAAATTTTTACTAAAAATATTTAGAAAATAATCATATTTAACTTTATGTAATTAAATAATTTTTGCATTTGTTAAGCACTAATTTTGAATTAATTTTTTGATAAATATGAAAAATAAATTTTGAAAATAGTTTTTGATTTAATTGTCAAAATACTATTAAACTGATTATTAAACTCATCCACATGAAAGTGGATACCTAGTGTTTATACCTTGAAAGTTTTTCTTTATCTCGAGTTGTGTTAGTTCATTTTGTTTAAACATTAAATTAGGAAAAAAAATTCTTATAATTATTAAACAACTTGAAACAATAAATTTATCAATAGAGTATTTTCGATTTAACGATTCTACGAGACATTCGTGATTTTAAAATCACTTTGTATGTTTGACGTTATTAATTACAAAATGATACGACGAAATAGCTATGGGAGTATTTAATAATATCATTAGCAAGAAGACGCTGCAGCTGCAAAGCGGCAAAATTCGAAAGTAACGTTTCGAAACGCCTAGTAACGTTTCGCTAGCACATCGATTACGAATACGGCTACAAATACGATCCACAATTACGATTTATGATACCGAATTATAAAATAATGAACACGGCTTACAATCACGGTTTACGACTTCTGCGTGCGATTACGGAAATTATTGTATACTATTGTACTATCTTTATTTATTGTATTTTATGTGCCACACTGTTTACCGTCGTTGTTACCGGTATTCGTAATACCGTATTAATCACTATCAATTTCAATTTCAATTGCCAGGAATTCAATACCGGAAAATTTTACGATATCGATATCATATTGATATTAGCTAATTCGATATTAGTGTTGGTGCCGTAGGTAAACGATTTCGGAGAGACATCTAAAGTCAAAACACCGATCGGTGCTCGCTGACACCCGTGAGCTTACCACGCGCGGCGTAATTGCGCGTGCGTACGTGAGCACCGCGTTATATGTAAACATCGCGGCGTTGCTAGGGCAACCGGCCGGCGATAGATGCTGATCGAGCGAAGCGGCCAAATTCGGAAGAAGACCTGTAACGTTCGGCTAGCGCATCGATAAAATGACTATATAGTTCGCAGGGCGCGAAGCAGATCGTGACGACTATTCACAAGAATACGTTTACGCCTACAATTACGATACCATATTATAAGATAACGAACACGGCTTACAATTACAGTTTACGGTTTCGGCGTGCGATTACGGCTATTATTGTATACGGTTTTATTGTATTTTGTGCCCGTCACTGTTTACTATCGCTGTTACCGGTATTCGTAATACCGTTTCAGTCTCTGTCAATTTCAATTTCAATTTCAATTGCAACTTCGACTTCAACTTGAACATCATCTCGAATTATAATTTCAATTTGGCCCGTGCCTCCGGTTTCTGAAGTCTTGCGTCGATTTGAAAAATTCATTGACAATTTGTTATAACTTTTGAACCATTACAGTATCTTTTAGCTACTGATAGCATTTTGTTTGACACGATTCTTGATTTCCTATAGGCACTTATAAATTTTTGTTGAGCTTCATTCCCCGAAGAAGAATCCGTAAACCGAATTGCGGCAGCCTACGGGTCGCACTCGAGAAGGCCTAGAATATTCACGTCCGAAAATTCCTCCTCTCCCACGTTGCAGGTCCGCAACTTTCTTGCCCGGAACCATTATTTCATAGCATACAAATTGAAAAGCTGCATATGAGTCGCATGTTTATTCCATGAAGAAATTTATTTCAATCACTGTGTGCTAACTGAATTGATCTTCAATGTCCTTTGTTTAAATATATCCCCATAAAGCTATATAAAAACGAAAACAGTTTTAACTATCCTCTTTATAATTTGAATAATTGTACCATGTCCGATTTAATAAACGAAATAGTTTGTTGGGATAAATAGATAGAATAGCTTGATCGAATAAATAGATGGAATAGTTTGTTCGAATAAATAGATGCAATGGTCTGATCGAATAAATAGATGAACCAATTTGTTCGAATAAATAGATGGAATAGATTGTTTGAATAAGTGAATAGAATAATTTGTGTTGGGGTAATGAATAACCATTATCTGAATAAAATATTCGACGGACAAGAATTCACTCGTACAATTATATCAATGAAATATTTATTTGATACAATTCGAATAATTTCGAACTCTGCCTCGGGCCCGCTATAGGCCGAGCGATTCACAACCCCAAATATCAGGCCATGAAGTGCGCAGTAACGATCTGCGCAGGATGCGGATGATGAGATTTCGCCTGAGCATGAAAATATGAGCGAGGTTCAAATTCCAGAATTATGGGCTGTGAAATTCGACTTTACACTTTTTCTGATCAAACATAGAAGCAATAACAACGTCCTGTGTTCCACAGGCTCTTCTATTTAATAATAATGGCCCTTTTCAGAGCTCCAAATTCATTCCAACCTTATTCACTTCAGAAGTGATAATGTCGATACGATGATAAAATACCGTTTTCTATATTATGCAGAGCTACAAACAATATATTCTTATATTCCTAGTTTTGTTTCTAACTTCGATAATTGTGAAATTATTCGCCGCTTACGAAACTCCTTCTCGTAGAGTAGAATATTGATTACTAGCAGTCCCAGTTAACAAGTACATACTGGGGTGGCTGAATTAACAAAATTTTACAAATTCACAAACTAAAAACGTATAGCTGAAATGTAGCTTATGGATTTTCGAAAATTTTAATAACTGTAGAAATGATCGTCGTTTCAAGATATTCGCAAATATGCTGAACTGTGTGGTCGAGAATCTTACGAGGCGAAAACTACATATGTACAATCGCGCCGAGTGTTTCAGATGAAGCACTAGGCAAACGGATGCGCGAATAGAGTGAGATCGCAAACTACATTGATCGTCGGTGTGACCTGTTTCGCTTGTATTGTACTGATGTCATGCTCTCTTGCTCACTCGCCACTTCCTCTCTTTGTCTAAAATGCGAGGGCAGCACTGTTTAGCTGTGAAGCGTCAACCAATCAGAGGAGAAGCAGTTTCTTTACCTGCTTCATAATTCTGAGCCGATTGCCTCCGCCTTGGCTTATTATAGTGAGGCACTCTACTGTAATGTATATGTTCAGCGGTACATAGCAGATGCTGCCTTCAGATACAATATGCTCTAAGTAGTTATGTACAANTAGAACTTGCTAAATCAATTGGAGGCAAAGGTTTTGTGGATATGGCTGTTGGGGATGTTCAAGATTTATTAGTGGAAGAAAAGGTTAACGAAGCTGATTTGATGGAAATGGCATCCGAAGCTGTAAATCAAGCTGTAAATCTAGATTCTGAGGATAATAGCACTATTGAAGATTGTGAAGTGAACAATTTAACACTAAGAAAATTACAAGAAGGTCTAAGCTTAGCCGAAAATCTTGAATCATTTTTCTTGAATGCGGATCCTTCCAGTGAAAGAAGCCAAAAATTCAAAAGAGAGCTGCAAGATTGTCTATCTCTATACCGCGAAATCTACAATGACTTTATAAGAACCAGCAAACTAATGAAAATTACAGATTTTTTTTAAAGAGGATAGAAGATGCAAAAAATCTAAATAAAGGAGAAGATTCTGAAAATAAAGGTGACATCGTTCAACCGAAAAAACGTTCTCGTTTGATTGTACTGAGCAGTGATGAGGAAGAAATTTATTAAATTAAGGTTGCTTTAAATGAAAATATTTTTTATTTCTTTTCACTAAATTAAATATGTAGTCTTTCTAAGAGAATATGAGTGCAAGTTTCATCTTTGTTTCTCAAAATTTTGAAAGTAAAAATCGCATAAAATTGCGAAATTATTCGTTACTTTCAAAATTTCTTCTTGTAGAGTAGAATATTGATTGCTGCCCGTTACAATTGACAAGTACTTGGATTGCTGAATTAACAAAATTTTGTAGATTCATAAACTAGAAAGTATTATCTAAAATGTAGCTTACAAGTTTTCAAAAATTTTAATAACTGTAGAAATAATCGTCGTTTCAAGATGTTCGCAAATACGCTGGACTGTGTGGTCGAGAATCCTACGGGGCGAAAAGTACAAGTCGAATATCACGCTGAGCGTTTCGGATGGAGCGTCAGAAAAAAGTGCGCGAAAAGAGTGAGATCGCAAGCATGGTAAAGTGAGACAAGTTACATTGGTTGTCGGTGTGACTTGTTTCGCTTGTGGTTGTGCTAGTGTCTTGTTCACTTACCACTTCCTCTCTTTGTCTAGAACTGTGAGGGCAGCACTGTTTAGCTGTGAAGCGTCAACCAATCAGAGGAGAAGCAGTTTCTTTACCTGCTTCATAATTCTGAGCCGATTGCCTCCGCCTTGGCTTATTATAGTGAGGCACTCTACTGTAATGTATATGTTCAGCGGTACATAGCAGATGCTGCCTTCAGATACAATATGCTCTAAGTAGTTATGTACAATAATGGAACCTACTGCACTCCTTTTTTGCTCCTTAAGCTGGCGCGCACATTACCACCATTTTACTACGCATCCAATCCGCAGTGGATTCTATCTCAGTGGTGAATCGTCAACCAATCAGAACGAAGCAATTCCTACTCCTATTCTCGCTAATGGAGCGCGCTGCGGCCAGAAAGTCTTGCGGAAACTTAGGTATCACTAACTGTACTACATTCTACATTTGAGAACATGGCGGACAGTTGAAGTTGACGTAAACAAAACGTAAACTTACTGTAACTTTGTAATTAACAGAGCTTTGTAAATAATTATAATAGTTGTAAATATCAAGCATTTATAAATATAAATAGCAACAAACATATATTCATGTGATATTTTGATATTTTCGCTATTAGAAGCTGTGGTATTGACATGCATTATCTCTGGTGATCTACTGTGTACTTGGATACAACGATTTGTTAACAATAAATTACTGTTACATCAATTCTTTTGATTTTCTAATAATAAAAAATGGCTGATTCCGAGGAAGAAGGTGATAAAGATTTGTTGTCCGGAATCAATATGACTGGTTTTCTATTCGGAAACATCGATGATAATGGTCAACTGGAAGATGATATTCTTGATCCTGAAGCGAAGCAACATTTAGCTTCGCTTAGTCGTCTCGGTTTCAGCTCGTTTATTCGAGAAATGATGCCTAATGAAAATGCTAATGATGAAAAGGATGAACATGATGATAAACATGAAGACGAATTTGAAACTGTTGATGAAAATGACGAAGATTATGTTGAGAAGTCATCTAGTGCTCTTGATTTTTCAGATATCAATGAATTAGCAGAAGATATAAATGAGGATAGTAGTGAGTATGACAAGTATTTAATAATTACTTTATTAACAAGTATAGACATAAAACATTTTATAAATATTAACTGTAGATGTCTATCATAGTTTTTATATTCAATAGTATAATTCTAGCTTCAGTTTTCTATCAAAATTTTATATACACAATTATTAATGCATCAATTCATTTTTGTTTTGTTTTTGCACATAGATAAACAAGACTCATTTGAAGGAAGAAATGAAAAAGAAAATGATTATGATGCAGACGATGAAGAAGTAGTTAATAAATCAGACACACAATTAATGCCTCCTCCTCCAGTTCCTGAGGAAAAGGAAGTGCTTACAGCAGAAGAGGCAGAAGCTGCTCGACAACGGAAATTAGAAACCCCTCTTGCGTCTATGTTACCATCAAAATATGCTAATGTTGATGTAGCTGAATTGTTTCCTGACTTTCGTGCTAATAAAGTATTAAGATTTTCAAGACTTTTTGGTCCAGGAAAGCCTAGCAGCCTTCCACAAGTATGGAGGGGTGTTAAGAAGCGGCGAAAAAAGAAACGACATCATGATGTTAGAGATTCAGATTCTGGTTCTGATCAAGATGAAAAAAAACCAAAGTTTAAGGTTTGCATAATAGATATATAATGTATGTCATGATTTAATCTTAAGATAATAGTAAATTTGTCTTATAAAATTACTATGTTAGGGTTGGATACTGAATTATGGCCCCGATCCAAATCCAGATATGTGTTGTTCTGACGATGAGAATAAACTATTATTACCAGTTGAAGATAAAGAGCAAACTGGGAAAACAGGTGAAACTGGAGAAAATGGAGATATGGGGCCAAAAGTAGCAGATTGGCGTTTTGGACCTGCACAACTTTGGTACGATATGCTTCAAGTCCCAGAAACTGGAGATGGTTTTAATTATGGATTTAAACTTGCAGATAAGGTATAGAATTATCTGCATTAAAAATATTATAATGAGCAGAACATTAAGAAGTTCAATGTATTATATAAACATATTGTATTATATGTTGCTATTATATTCCCAATAGATGGATGATCAGAATGATAAAGAAGCTACTGAAGAATTCTCTGATGATGCATTTTTAATGGTGTCACAATTACATTGGGAAGATGATGTTATATGGAATGGTGATGACATAAAGCATAAAGTATGTATTACTATTTCGATACAAAATACTGTACTAAAACCTGTGCAGGGTTGTGTAACTAAGGACCTAAATCTATTTGAAGGTGTTACAGAAATTAAATAGTAAAAATAATGCAGCTGGCTGGGTACCATCCAGTGGAAATAGAACTGCCCAAGCATTTAGTCAGCCAGGGAAAGGTGCTCCAGTCCCAGTTGCATCGAATGTACGATTAGCTACTTCTCAAATTGCAACTCCTTTACACATGCAATCTCAAAAAAATAAAATGTAAGAAATTCAAAGTATAATGTGCATATGTACACAGTGTTTATGCATTTACTATGACTTGTTTTTCGAAGGAAGAAACCTGAAATACGTTCATAATCAAAGTAACTATCCACTCTATTATAACTCTACAGACTTGCAAGATAGGAGTAGGATTGATTGTTGTAGCTATGAATATACCAATACCACTTTTTACTAAAATTTATATTTTGCGCGAAGAACGTTGGCTAGTAAATGTGTGAACATCTTGTATGTAATTTGTCCACTGTTATTTGACTTTTGAAATTTGAGCAGGAACATGAACAAGGGAAATCAACAACAGTCTAGAGAAGAAAATTATGACGACACCTGGTACTCCATTTTTCCTGTAGAAAATGAGGAACTAGTATACGGTCTATGGGAAGAAGAAGTAATTTGGGATCCTGAAAACATGAGAAAGATACCAAAACCTAAAATTCTCACTTTAGATCCAAATGATGAAAACATTGTTCTTGGTATTCCTGATGACATAGATCCAGCATTACTGCATAAAGATAATGGACCTCAACCAAAAGTAAAGATACCACATCCACATGTTAAAAAGAGCAAATTGTTACTTGGGAAAGCTGGTGTGATTAATGTTTTGGAAGAAGATACACCACCACCGCCACCAAAGTCACCAGATAGAGATCCCTTCAATATTTCAAATGATACGTAAGTTTACTACTCCTGGCAAAAAATATTTGATCAAAATCATTAGGTCTTTTGAAAATAATTTTCTAGTATTCATAAAAATCTATAAACAATATCGCTTTGTATTTATACTATTGTTATCAAATACCTTTTGCCAGGAATATAAATTAAACTAATAAGTACAATTTCTATTAGAATAAAAATTTGATGATTTGTTCGGATTTTAGTTATTATATGCCACGGTCATCGGAAACAACATTACGGTTGAAAGTTGGAGGTGGGAATCTAATACAACATAGTACACCTGTGGTAGAATTGCGTGTTCCATTTGTACAAACACATATGGGACAAATGCGACTTCGAAATTTCCATAGACCACCTTTAAGAAAATTCAGTCATGGTCCACTTGCACATCCTGGGCCTCATTCTGTATTGCCATTGTTGAAGCACATCAAAAAGAAAGCTAAGGTGTGTTTTCTCTCTGCGTTTTATAATCTGTTAATAATATGCGGGAATTAATCTAAAGAAGACAATTGAATCTAATAAGTAAAAAAGTAACATAGCGTTCTACACTTTTAAATATTTCATTATACATATATGGAAGTAATATGATGGTTTATAAATATCAATTATATATATTGAATATAATATGTATATGTATATAATATTTTTCATTAGCAAAGAGAGCAAGAAAGAATTGCGTCTGGTGGAGGTGATGTCTTCTTCATGAGAACTCCAGAAGATTTGTCTGGCAAAGATGGTGAAGTGGTACTCATCGAATTCTCAGAGGAGCATCCTCCTTTGATGAACCAAGTAGGCATGTGTTCTAAGGTGAAAAATTACTATAAAAGAAAGGCAGGTAAAGATCAAGGACCTCAGAAGTATAAATATGGAGAAACTGCATATGCGCACACTAGTCCATTTCTTGGAATTCTCACACCTGGTCAAAGCATACAAGCAATTGAAAATAACATGTACAGAGCGCCGATCTATGAACACAAAATCCCAGAAACTGATTTCCTAGTTATTAGAACAAGGTATTGTATTTAAAATTTCTTGATTAATTTTAAGATGTACTGTAATATGCTAAATAATATTTATGCGTAGACAGCAATATTACATCAGAGAAATGGACGCCTTATTTGTAGCTGGACAAGAATGTCCACTATATGAAGTGCCAGGTCCTAACTCAAAAAGAGCTAATAATTTCGTCAGGGATTTTTTACAAGTATTCATATACAGATTATTTTGGAAATCATCCGATATACCTCGTCGTATTAAAATGGATGACATTAAAAGGGCTTTCCCTTCACATAGTGAAAGCAGTATCAGAAAACGCTTGAAACTATGTGCAGATTTCAAAAGAACCGGTATTTATATATTCTTACACTTATTGTAAAAAGTTAAAAACGTACTGTAACATATTGAAAAAATGTTTTAAATTACTATGCACAAGGAATGGATTCCAACTGGTGGGTCATAAAGCCAGACTTTAGATTACCGACAGAAGAAGAAATTAGAGCAATGGTGTCCCCAGAACAGTGTTGCGCATATTTTAGTATGATCGCAGCAGAACAAAGATTAAAGGATGCAGGTTATGGTGAAAAATTCTTGTTCACTCCTCAAGATGACGATGACGAAGAAATGCAACTAAAAATGGATGATGAAGTTAAAGTTGCACCTTGGAATACGACACGAGCATACATTCAGGCTATGAAAGGCAAATGTCTATTACAATTGGCAGGACCAGCAGATCCAACAGGCTGTGGCGAAGGATTCTCGTACGTCAGGGTTCCAAACAAACCAACAATAAGCAAGGTAGTTACTATATTTCATTCTGTCATGTACTAGAATGTACAAAATACTTATAAATATTTGTATTATAAAATTTATGTAGTATCAATACTTTATCCAGCACTTACAGTATAATTTATATTATTTTTTAAATGTTAATTAGGAGGAACAGGAAGCGCAACCAAAGAGAACCGTTACCGGAACGGATGCTGATTTAAGAAGACTGTCTTTGAATAATGCAAAAGCATTGCTTCGTAAATTTGGTGTTCCCGAAGAAGAAATTAAAAAGTTATCACGATGGGAAGTTATAGACGTAGTTAGGACATTGTCCACGGAGAAAGCTAAGGCTGGAGAAGAAGGTATGACCAAATTCTCTAGAGGAAATCGATTCTCCATTGCTGAGCATCAAGAAAGATACAAGGAAGAATGTCAGAGAATATTTGATTTACAAAATCGTGTGCTATCTTCCAACGAGGTTTTGAGTACAGACGAGGGTGAAAGTTCAGAAGAAGACAGTTCTGATATAGAGGAGATGGGTAAGAATATAGAAAATATGCTTGCTAATAAGAAGACTAGTACTCAGTTGTCTCTCGAGCGAGAAGAACAACAGCGTCACGAGTTACGTAAAATGTTGATGGGTGAGGTTCAGGAACAGGATAAAAAGAGTAAGGAGAAGAAGAAAGACGATGAGGAAGATAGTCCTGTAAATAATTTTAATGCACAGCAGGGTAGGGTTCTTAAGATTTATAGAACATTTAGAAATCCAGAAGGGAAAGAATATACAAGGGTAGAACTGGTTAGAAAACCAGCAGTGATAGATACGTATATAAAGATTAGGAATTCGAAGGATGAGACATTCATCAAACAGTTTGCGACACTGGATGAAGCACAGAAAGAAGAAATGAAGAGAGAGAAGAGGAGAATTCAAGAGCAGTTACGTAGAATTAAACGAAATCAAGAGAGAGAACGTATGTTAGGTGGTCCTATTACAGGAAGTAATTCATCATCCCATAACATATTTGACCGTAGTAATACCAATACCCCAACCATCACATCCTCGAACAGTATCCTTCAATTCAGTAATTCTTTCCAGTCTACATCTCCTGCTTCTAAACATCCTAAAACTGAGATTTCTCCTTCTAAGCGTAAGAAACCTAAACTTAAACCAGATTTGAAATTGAAATGTGGTGCCTGTGGTAATGTAGGTCACATGCGTACAAATAAAGCCTGTCCCTTGTATCAAAACAGCATAACCACTGCACCAGTGAATGTTGCGATGACTGAGGAACAAGAAGAAGAGATTGAAAAACAACTTAATACAGACGACCAAGATCTTGTTAATGTGGATGGAACTAAGGTGAAATTGTCATCTAAATTGATTAAGGTAATCTGCTTGATACATATATAAATACATATCTAAAGACTATCAATGCTGAAGCGATACATCATTTTTCTGGTTTTGTTACTCACAGCATGCTGAAGAAATGAAGAGGCGCACATTATTGTTAAAAGTGCCCAAAGAAGCAGTCAACTCCAAGAAACGAAGAAGAGCCACTGGAGATGATCACTGCGATTACCTCAAACGACAACAAAGACCTGCCAATAGACGTAGAACAGATCCGGTTGTTGTCATGTCTACAATGTTAGAGAGCATACTTAATGAGATGCGAGATTTACCAGATGTACAACCTTTCTTGTTTCCTGTTAACGCTAAGGTATATTTTCTTTTTAATAAAATCATTTTTATACTGTTTCATATGAATTTATATTCTCAAAATATGTTTATAAATATTATTAGGCTGTTCCCGATTATTATAAAATTATTCAAAGACCTATGGATTTGCAAACCATCCGTGAGAATTTAAGGTTAAAGAAATATCAAAGTCGAGAAGAATTTTTAGCCGATGTTAATCAAATCGTAGAAAATTCAACATTGTATAACGGAGCAAAGAGTTCGTTGACAGTGGCCGCTAAACGTATGTTGGAGACATGTGTAGAAAGGCTTGGCGAGAAAGAGGATCGTTTAATGAGATTAGAAAAAGCTATTAATCCTCTTCTTGATGACAACGATCAAGTTGCTTTGACATTTATCTTGGATAATGTCGTTAATAATAAATTAAAATCTATGACGGAAGCTTGGCCATTCCTTAAACCAGTAAATAAAAAATTAGTGAAAGACTATTATACCGTAATAAAACGACCAATGGATTTGGAGACTATATCGAAAAAAGTATCGGGTAAGTTAATTTTCATTACTGGAATAGAAATAGAGTATTAATTTCGTTATATTACTTAAATTGATTTAATTATTTTGGTTTAGCACACAAATATCATAGTCGGCATGAGTTTCTCAGAGACATTGAACAAATTTTGGAAAATTGTACAATATACAATGGAAAAGAGTCTGTTTATACAAACAAGGCTGAAATGCTTGTAAAAGTTTGCAAAGAAACATTAGATGAGGTAGATAAACAAATATTTATTTGTAGAATGTTATACTTCAATTATATTTTATTTTCTAATTATTACTAAATAATTTGCAGTATGACGATCATTTAACGCAGTTAGAAAATAATATATTATTAGTACAAAAACGGGCAATGGAACAAGCAGATATAGATCCTTCATGGCTTGGCCCAGATGAGGAAAACTATACTATTGTGGAGCCTGAATTCAGAGGGGTACTCTAATTTAGTAAAATTTGCATATTTATTTTATTATTGTACGGATTAAATAAATTCTTTTATGTCCATTATAGAGTCAGACAAGTTCGCCAGAAAATCCATTTGGAAAATCAAACATAGAGGACTTTGATTTTGTGGATGTAGAAGGAGACATGGAAGGCGATGGTAGTAGATGTGTAAATTCAAAGAAAAAAGATGTTCTTGAAGAAGGTATAGCAAGCATTTAAGTTTGATTATTGAATATATATATATAATTTTTACTTCCAATCTAAAATTAACTATTTTTGCATTTCAGATTTACAATTCTCTAGTGAAGATGAGTTTGATGAGGTTCCATTTGGTACAGATGAGCAATCTGAACATGCTGAAATGGATACAATTGAATTGAATGAAGTACGAGAGGGAGGAGTTGTATTGGCAGATGATGATAGCCAGCAAGCAGCTGAAGCAATGGTACAGTTGGGTAATGTTGGATTTTATATGGCAGATCAACAATTGCTTCAGCAAGGTTGGTAATATAAAAATATTATTATTAAAAACCTGGATACTCTAAACATTGCTTAAGCATTCCTATGTCTATAATGTTATAAAAAAATATATATGCTGTTATATATGAAAGTCTATAGAATAATTTTTCAAAATTGAGGGTGATGAACAAAAATAATTACCGAATTCATATTTGTCGTATCTGGTTCTATAAGAATTACCTATTGGTTATGAAAACGCAAAAATTAGTGTTAGACAATGTATAATTAGGAAGTTTTTCAAAAATATATACACAAATTTTCTGTAATTACAGATGAAAGCATGGACGTTGATCCAAATTACGATCCTTCAGACTTCTTACTAGCTGGATTACCAGTCAGAGATGAAAAAAATGAGACCAAGATTCAAGATGATTTAGCTGTCTCAGAAAGCGAAGACGAAGCAGAAAACAATGTGCAACTAAAGCAAAAAACACAGCAACTGTCGCAACCAGAAGAAGACGTGGGTGGCGACTTGTGGTTTTAAGAAGATTGTTATTTATTCTAAGCAAGAATCCTGTTATTTTCTTTCTAAAATCAAAAACTTTATATACAGATACAATATTTCAATATATAATGAAAAATGATATATTTATTTCTTATAGGAATAATTGAATTTCAATACTTGAAATTATGTAATATATGATTTCACTTTGTAAAAAGGTAGGAGGTATGATGTAGTCTTCTGAATGCATATCTTAAAATGTTATGTATACATACATGTAAATATATAATGAAAATTTTTTAAGTTCTATGTACAGATCTATGTTGATTTTGTTATTTAGGTTAAAATAGGAACAAAATTTATAAAAAAAAATAGTTACACTATTGTATTGTATATTTTTACAGATTGAAGACATATAAACTGCATATTCAGTTGTGTTCATTTGTAAATGATTTTAACCAAAATTATATTTGTAGTGTTTTACATCACTTTACAATGGTTCCAAATGAAGAATTGAAAAATAAAATAGATTCCATATATACAGCATGTGCCACCTCTATTAATGCAAATTCGATACGAGATCAGGATAAACTATTAAACCATGTATGGAGCATAACAAAACATTCATTACAAGAACATCTATTAAGTTACAATCCAGATATTATAATTACATTTACTCTTAAATTTTATTTACATTACAATAAAACACTGCGCCATACTCATAATATATGTGAATGGAAACGACGGCGGAAACGTCGCTTTGCTAAAGAGTGTTATAATAATTTATTAAAAATTTATATTCCTGAAAAGTCTAAAGAAATTTCGCAAGCAGTAGTTAATACGATTTATGAAGAGAAGCTCTGGGAATTTGAAACTGATTGCTTTGAGGTACTATGTACTTTGTTAGAAAGTGGTGTTAGTGGAGCGCTAATGTTCCATATAATATGGGATAAAATTGAAAATCCAAATATAAATCCAGAAAACACAAGAAGAATTATAAGAATATTGTATGAATTGTTGGATGTATATGATTGGCCAGATTCTTATGACACCATATTAGTCATTGAAAGAATCCTAAATCTTTTTTACATAAGTGTAACTGATACAAAATTAAATAACCATATTACTCCATATGCAACATTAAAGAAGGGCCTAGAAGTATGCATTATAAACATGGTAAAACACGTGTGCAATGATCACCTTTTAATTATAGTGCAACATATGTGCTCATGGGCTGTTGAGCCAGGAATGACTGATGAAATTATTTTAGAATTTGGAAGCACACTTGAATATACAGCTTATATGCATGAAGTTGCATTATATGAGAAGACTTTGACTCCTAAAGTGTTTCCATTACTCATGGATATGATAGCATCAAAAAGCAAAATAATAAGCTTACTAGGTAATAGAGTAATACAATATTTAATTGATAGAAAAGAAAACAAAATGAATTTCGATACACCAAAAATATTTTTTGAAAACAATCAATTCGATTTGACAATAGGAGAGTGTCTTAAAGAAGATAAATTGTTCTGCAAGCTTCATAGGGAGATTTTACACGATAGTATTTTAAAAAGTATTATAAACCATTGCTCGTCACGTATGAATTTAGAAACAACATACTGCACAATTTGTTTGTTCGTAATAGAAATTCCATGTGGATTTACAGCAGCTGCTATAGTCTGCCTTATAATGAATCTTCAAGACATGACTTTAAGAAAAGGAAAACATCAAGCTGAAGTATCTTATCACCTGCATGCCATAATAATCGCAATTATGTCTCTTTTATGTTGGGTTCATAAAGCCAAAGTATTTTATGAGTATGTAAACAAAATTATGCTAGAGAGAGCACAATGGGCTCCACATTTAAATCCACCTATTCAATCTCAATATAATTTTGCAGCACATCATATACTTTGGGATAAGCCAGATTTATTTTTTGTAGATTGGGAGGCTCGTTATGGTCTATGGAAATGTTTCAGACTACGTGAAACCGATGATTACACAAATGAACTATGAATATTAGTTATACATTTCAATAATGTAGCAGCTTTCAGTTATTAATAAATCAAATTACACCTTTAAGTAATATATTAGATAGAAATTTTTATACATTTAGCGTAAT